ACAAGTGGAGCCGAGTGAAAGCCCAACCTCCATGGGGCTCCCTGCGGCCCCTGCGCCTCCCTAGGCCAAGCTCAGCTGGCTGTGCTCTCATGAATTGTTAGGGAGTTTGTTCCTCTGAGAAATCAGGTAGAAGTCTCTTACAAGTTATGGCTGTAAAAATACACACATGCACACATTGTTTTCCTTTTTATATCAGTGAATGCTGAATATATAATAAATCAGCAAAGGGGTTTGTGATGGTTTACCTTATGAATTGCTTTAAACTCTAGTTACGGTTCAGCTAGAGTTATTCATTGCATGAGATTACTTTAAAAATTTCTGTATGTGACGAGGAGCACGCCACCCTAGTTCTTTTCTCAGAAATGCTGGAAGCATCTCTGAGTTTAAGCAAGTTTCCAGTGCAGTGTGTGTAGTAAGTCACCTATGTCTGTTTCCAGATTGTCAGCCACAGGATGGAAACTGTAGCACTTACAAAAGGATCAAGTACTGAAATAAAAATAATCTGCCTTTCAACAGTTTTTGTTTTTTTTCGTCTGAGACAGAGTCTTACTATGTCGCCCTGGGTAGAGTGCCATAGTGTCACAGCTCACAGCAATCTCAGACTCTTGGCCTTAAGCAATTCACTTGCCTCAGCCTCCCAAGTAGCTGGGACTACAGGCACCCGCCACAACACCCAGCTATTTTTGTTGTTGTGTTGCGGTTGTTATTGTTTCACAGATAGTTTCTCACTCCTTGATAGTGGACTTTCTCTGTCTTTATAATTTATCTTTCCTTTTCTATGATCACGTATGTATCTCGTGACAGGCAGAGATACACTGTCTCTCTGTAGCAGGCTTGGGTTGGGTTCAAACCCACCAGCCCCAGGGTATGTGGCCAGTGCCCTACCCACTGAGCTACAGGCGCTACTCTCAAACAGTTCATTTTTAACATAAATCAAAGTCATTTTCTGAAAGAAATTTGTTGTTAGCTTTATTGAATGAGCAAGTAGACTTGACCTTTGAGAAATGGGACCTGACCTTGGTGGGGTACTTCTTGTGCCTTCAGCATTTGCTAAGTGCCTTGCAGAGTGCATGCAGGGTGGTGGGGAGCATGAGGGTAGGAGCATGGTGACACCGTGAGACCCTGTCGTCCCTCAGAGGTTAATAGCTGTGTCTAATGACGTGATGAGAGCTGAAGTTGTAGCCTGTGTCCCTTTATGCCCCCTCACATACAGACAGCTCTGTGCTTGGTCTGCAGAGGTGCTGGAAGTGGCCATTCCTGCTTGATAGAGAGTGACAGAGTGTATCTCTGCCTGTCACGAGGACCTAGAGCATAGCTCATCCCACCTTGCAGAGCATTCAAAACCCTGCCTTTCCAGGGACACTGTACTGGATCATAGAAAAGGAAAGATAAACTATAAAGACACAGAAAGCCCACTGTCTGTGCTCAGGGAGTGTGAAACTGTCTGTGAAAATCCTGCACTGAGGATTCACCCTGGCCTGAGGATTCACCCTGGCCTGTACCTTTGCCCTCTCCAAGGCCCATGGCACCCGAATGTGGGTTTGTTCACCTCTTTCAGGCTCCCTGAGTCTCTGGGGACATGGGGAACCCCTTTCTGCCCTGGCTTATTACTCTGATTTCTGTCCCTGTGAGGAGGAATGACCTGAATGCTGCCCGGGTGACATGGCAGCGGTCAGGTAGTGCCCTTCCGCCCTGCTCTGCAATCCTTCCCCACCCAGACTTTTCCGCAGACAGGAGCTGTTGGGATCATTTGAGAGTGTGATTACTGGCCATGTGAGAAGCCCGTCTCCTTTTTTTTGGGGGGGGGGTCCATCCTCCCCCAAGTCCAAGTGCCACTCTAAAGACTTTTTATCTGCTTTCTGAATTGAGCAGGACCCTTAAGAGTGGAAGATGTCCCACTGCTGACGTTGCTCTGAGGCGCGTGTCATGGGCTTGGAGCAGTGTAAAAATATGCTGAGGAATCATTGCAGTGAGGGTCTCTTGGGATGGCTTTTGGATGGAAGGTTTGAACATTGATTAAAAATATCCCAATTTCTTCATAGTCATTTCGTGCATATGTATTTTCTGTACAAATGATTTGTAAATGAAAAGCCATGGAGAACTTTCGGGAGAGTGGAAAGAGGTTGCTTAGTGAAGCTGGCAGGTGGATGGCTACCCAGGAGCTGGGGACACAGGGATGATGGAGGGCACTCACATCCCCCCAGATCCACTCTGCTCCAGTCTGGAAGTGGTTTAGATTAAAAGGCTTGATTGTGTAGCATAAGTCGTACTTCTAAGAACAGATAATTTATGGTTTAATTAAAGAGGCAAATCTTTTTGTACCATTTTATTTTAGTACAGTGTACACATAGAACTACAGAGAACGTATAACTTTGCTCCACTGTTTAAATTAATTACTTCTAAATATATTATTTTGCTATTTAAAGCTACAGTTATTATTTTTTTTTTTTTTGCAGTTTTGGCCAGTGCTGGGTTTGAACCCGCCACCTCCAGCATATGGGGCCGGTGCCCTACTCCTTTAAGACACAGGCACTGCCCTGAATTTTTTTATTTTTAAGGAGAGGATGTTGCTCTGTCACCACTAGAATGTGGTAGCACACAGACAACTATGGCCTCATACTCCTGGGCTCAAGTGATTCTTTGCTTCAGGCTCCTGAGCAGCTGGGGCAGCTGGCACAGACTACATGCTCACTGATTATTTTTTTTTACTTTTTGGTACAGATAAGATCTCTTTGTGTTGTTCAGGTTGGTCTGGGATTCCTGGTCTGAAGCAATCCTTCTGCCTCAGCTTCTCAAAATGGTGGGATTGCAGATGAGCCACTGCATCTGGCCTTTCAAAATGTTTTATTTTATAAGATTTAATGGTCAGATTTATAGCTTTATGCATGAATAAAAGGTTTCTATTGTCTTTGTGCATTTTAAAATCAAATCATCCTTTGATTATATTAGGCTTACAAAAGGACCTTCCCACAAATACCCTTGTGCTTTTCTAGCTAAGGGGGTTTAAAATAGTGAAAAGTACAGGAAACAGGCAAGTTTGCTGTCACCTGAAAGCGTTGGCCCTGAGTGATGTGTTAAGCCGGTGATGCTTGATGAGAGTTTCTCTGTTCTTGTTTTGCTGAAGGAAAATGACTAGATTCCCAGAGAGATGATGATCATAAAAGGGACTGTGGCCACAGAAGTCCAGCTGTTCCTGTCCCTGTATGTTTATTTTCTTTAGAGATAGTTAATCGAAGCTCTTCTGTAAGTTTACCTTGGACGGGGAGTATGTAAGGGAATTACTTTGGAAACTGGGTCTTAGCACTGCGGAGTGGAGGGTGCGTCGCTTCTCCTGGCCTCTCTGTGTTCCTCTCCACTCTGAAAGTTTTTCTCTAGAAGACCGACGGCCTTTGTGCATGAAACACAGCTGAGTGTAAGTGCTATGCAAGGAGAAATCTCACCAAACTCAGGCATCCACGAAGAGAAAGCGCCACCCAAGATACCAAGCTACTTCTACCCATTTGGTGGGATTGGGAATATGATTTTTACGGATAGAAGATTCAATTAATATTCTTAGTAAGGATCACAGCCACCTTGCACCTTGTACAGAGCACACATTATAGTCACCATCATTCTGTGGAGCAGTCCAACCTTTGAAGTAGG